GGGCGTGCTGAGTCACGCTCGGCTTTCTGGTCGTGATGACATCATGCGCTTTTACAAAACATTCGGAAAACAAGGCTTTCACCAGCCTGCTGTTAGCTTAGCTCAACATCACGGGACAGGGGTGACTCAGTGAGTCTCCTCCTCCTCGAGGTTGGGGATTTCCTCCCAGTGAGCCCTTCTCCAGAGCAGACCTTGGTCCTCGCTCTCCCATCATTTCCTATCCCCCCCCAAGCCTTGGGATGTGCCTCCAGGCGGATTCTCAGCCCCCTGGAGAGGCCCTGTGAGAAGCTGTGCTGTATTCCCACGTATGCTATTAACTTTATATTAAAGAGATACTGTTCCCTCTGTTTGCTGGAGGATCTGGGTTTTGGGGCTCTCAGCATGGTTCTTTATGGTTCTTTAGGAGTCCCATGGCATCCCAGAAACCCCTGCCCAAAAAAGTGGCTTGTCAGCCTGCAGCACGGATGGATGTAGCAAAGGAACAGCAAAGGGGATGGGGGAAAAAAAAAAGCTGTTTGAGTTTAAAATGTCAAGGTTACAGAGGAAAGGCTCAAAAAGGAGCAATTAGCATCCCTGCAGAGCTCTGCTTTCTCTCCACACCCACTTGCTGCTGGGAAGTGTTTAAAAATATTTGCTGAGATTCTTGCTCCGCGGGCACAATCACCAGAAATACTCCTTATGTCCAAACTCCTCATGTTCGCAGTAAAGTGCCAGCAGGATGCAGGGGGGTGGGGGGAGAACTGATTTTTCTTTGCTTGCAAACAACAACAAAGGCTGATGATGATTTTCCAGAGGAAATTCTTCCCCAAATCCTCTCTCCATCAGGCCTCTATCACTGCCCCAGCACTCCGGGTGAGGTTTACTCCCCCCTACACCCCCCGGCTCTGGTGTGTGGTGATGGAGGGGCGATGCTCACCAGGCTGGACCGGGTGCTGTGGTCCACAGGTTGCTGAGGTGCCACATGCTCCTTCCAGAGACTTCTGGAGAGGTGTAGGATCCTCTGGACACCTCGGGACAGATGTGGGTGACTCAGCCTGGTCCCGTGACCGTTTCCCTCCTCCACAGCCCAGCGAAAACACCCTTTACTTCCTCCAGAGAGAAGCTTCCTTCCGCAATGGCGCAGGCAGGAGAAAAGGTTTGTGGGTTGTTGTTTTTTTTGCTGTGTCATTTTTGAGGTTGAGTTTTCCAGCAGGTCAGCTCTGCCACGTCAGGTGTTGACACAGGCTCAGCACCGGTGCTGGTCGGTGACACGAAACTTTTAAGGGGCAGGAAACTCTGGGACGGTTTTTCCCATTGAGACAGAGGAGCAGGCGGGGAGAAGGGATGGAGAACAAGCACAAAGTACAAACCCGCTGTGGGTGCCGTGAAAATACGTAAAGATTTCGTGTTCCTGAAGGTGAGAAGGGACTTTTTGCAACCTACATGAATTGCTGGGGGTGAGTGTTGCTTTTGAGAACCCGGCTCGTGGCTTTTGCCCTGAATTTAAACATCAACACGTCAAGGCAGGGAAGGTAAGCACCCTTTTGTGATCTTCATCTCTTGTGGCTGAGGAGAATTTGGAAATGTTTGTACTGCAGTGAAACAAGCCCCGGTGATGTTTGAACACAGCCAGCTGTAAAACACACAGAAAATGAATTTATTTTATTTGATGAGACAAACAGCAAGTGCTCTTTGCTTAAAGGAGCTCGGGAAAGACCAAGCCTGACCTGCTCCCAGACGGGCCAAACTCCAGAGCCAAGCTCTTTAGAGAGCCAGATAAAATCAGCTGTAAATCTGGATTACATTTTATATCTAGACCTAATAAATGTGTTCTCTTTCTAATTTTTGTAATGGCCTCAGGAGCTGTGGATTGCTCTCAGGGTGGAAGGCCCTCGTTTCTGCAGCGTGCTCAGTATCACCAACATCAACTGTTCAAAAACCGTGAGATCACCTTAAAAAACCATCTTTGCCCTGTTTATTTGCTGCTGGGGTTGGGAGACTCTGCAGTTTGCATTTTAATCTTTGCTCTGCAAAAAGGACCAAGGCTCAAAAGCAGAAGCTTTAAAAGCAGAAAAAAAGCCAAAATTTAGGGTAGGAGGGAGGGACTTCAAGAATAAAAGTGAACTTTGCGGGTCTGATATAAAAATCACAAGTGCTGACAATTTTGCTGCGTCACCCTATAATTATTTTTTTTCCAAGAGAGCCCAAGGTTTTTTTGTCACGCGAGGGTGGTGTAAAGCTCATTCATTTCTTCAGACTTTTATGAAGACAAAGTATAACAGCAGAAATTAGATTAAGCTTTATCCTTGGGAAAGAGTCTAATGAATTGTCTTGGGGGAGATTATTAATGTTACTCCATTCTCTCCCGCTGCAGACACGCCACGAACCCTGAACGGGAGGAGCGTTTGGCACATCTGAAAATAAACACCCAGCATCTAAGGCACTGAAACGTGTCATGTTGTTTCTCTGGAGGCTTCAGCAGTGGTAGGGTTTCACACGCCTGCCCCACAAGCAGCCCCGACTCGTCTGCCACCTCTGGAGGCTTTTTGCCATTCATTCCTGCCAACCCTCTGTCAGCTCCTGGGTTTAACACGGAGGTTTAAGGCAAGGAAGGAAAAAAAAGGGTGGGACGGAGCAGCTGGGGCTTGTTTTCTTTGCTCTGATGGTGAAAATGCTCCCACTGGTGTGGTTGAGGCTTCCTCTGCAGCTGAGGAGCAGGTTATGGTGGGTTTGCTGGGTTGGGGGTCCCGGCTGGGGATGTGGCTGCTCTCCCTGGAGCCCACCAAGCGCTCGAGGTCCAAAATGCTCTGACACAGGGGACTTGCTGCTGGCTCTTCTTCTGCAGGTGACATGGCTTGGGCAATGCCTTGTGAAATCCAGGTGAGGAAGCACAGATCTGGCCTCCCTCATTGGTGGGGGCTTTTTTCAGTATTCCTGAGAGTGATGTCCAGGGCATTTCCCTACCCCGAAATGGGTCCAGTGTGAGCAACCATCTGCGCTGGGGACCCCCAGCTCCTCGCTGGCTTCTGGCAGAAGAGACAGAAACTTTGGGTCCATCCGAAGGGCTGCCCCTCTGATTTCCTTCCTGAGTTTCCTAATCCACCAGGAGGGGCCATTTCAAGATTTGAAAAATGTTGTTTGTTTTATGAACCAGAGAAGAGTCTAAGGACACGGGTAGGGACAGGACCATCTCCTGCAGAAATGGGCGACCCGAGGACCTGTTTTCCATATTTCCCTCTTCCAGGAGGATTCCTGCATTGTTGGAGCAGTGCCCAGAGGAGATGTGCGCACGGAGCCCAGCTGGATCCCAGCACATCCCTGCTGGGTCTGGCTCCGAGCATCTCCATCCCCGCTCCCACCTCTGGCAGGGGCAGGGGCTTCATTTTACATCCTTCCCTCATTGATCTGAACATTTCAAACAACAGACTCCGGTCGCTGGGAGCCAGTCCTGCAGTATTTACATGTCTGAGGAATATTTACTTACTAAAAGAGGTTCAGGGAATGAAAGATGACAGTTTTATAGGCAGAGGAATTATGTAGGGGGCACATGAGCTGCTGCCTCCCGTCTGACCCCCGGGACACGCGCAGGAGGCGATGGAGGGACGGGAAGGAGGCATTTCCAACCCGACCTCACTGCACGGCTCCTCCTGCTCTGTAATGAAATAAAGCCGGATCCATTAAGAGAAGAAAACACAAGCAAAATAATTTTAAAATCTGATTTCTTCTGTCCTTCATCCGGGCAAGCAGCTCCAGGCCATCACCCCTGGACACCAGGTCCTTTGGGAGCGCGACGACGTCCCGACAGGCGCAGCCCCCGTTTGTGATATCCATCTGGCATCGGTTTGCCCTCAATGAGCATCAGACGCTGTTTCCTTCACCAGGATGAAGCGTGTCCCCGGAGCTGGCACCCGACACGCGCCCCACAACCACGGGGGCTGCAGCCCCCCGCCTCGTCCTGCACCCCCCAGCCCTGCACACCCCCACAGGGATACCCCACACACAGGGGCTGTGCACACACTGCCGGGCACCCGTGAGCACCCCGGGGGACGGGAGACACCTCCACACATGTGTGCACACATCCACACACGTGCACACAGCCTGGTGCACGGAGGGGCAGACGTGTGGGTCCACGCGTGCAGGGATGTGCGCTCCACCACGCACGGGGACAGCAGCTGAAGGCAGGACATGTGCAGGGACACACACGGACATATGGACCCAGGTGTGCACATACACACACAGAGAGACATATGGGGGGGACACACGCAGAGAGACATACGGGCACACACACACATACAGACATATGGAGACCCAGGTGCGTGTGCACACACACACCCCTAGACCCACGCAGACACCTATACATATATATATGTTTTTATGGACATGTGTGTGCACAAATACACATGTATGTGTCTATACGAATAAGCGAAGTGTATAGGTATGTACATTTATATATGTAACCCATGAATGTGTTCCTGTGCACACATGTACACACACGTGTACACACATATGTGCCACACATGCACACACACACACCCACACATGTACACACATACATACACATGCATATACACACATATGTACACATGTGTACACACACATGTACACGTGTAGACACAGACACAGACACAGGTACACATACACACACATGTGCATGCACACACACACATACACAGAGATAGGCATAGACACAGGTACACATACACACACATGCATGTATACAGACACGTAGACATAGACACAGGTACACATACACACACACATGTGTACACGTGCACACACACCTACACACCCGTAGACATAGGCACACGTACACATACACACACACAGGCCACACACATACACACACATGTACACATGCATAGGCATAGACACAGGTACACATACACACACACGTACACACACGTACACACGCGCAGGCATAGACACAGCTACACATGCGCACACACACACACATATGCACACACACACACGGACACACACGCTCGCCCCCCCCC